GAATTATTTTCTAATAAAGTCAATCGTATTGAAGAAATCGGTGATAATTTATATGACAACCTTCAAAAAAAGAAGACTGAAAGTTGTTCAATATATAACGCAAAATTTACTCTCAACAATATTCCTTGTGAAATAGAATACGACCTATCACATTTCACTTTACAAGAATTAGATAAATTGGCGAATCTTGCAACTGAAAATTTCAATGATGATAATATAAATCCAATTCCTACCTCTTTAAATGAAAATGATAATGAACAATTCATTCTCAATAACGTCCCTTGCGAACCTCTAAATCTATGCTCCATGTGTAAGGAGACTAATGATTGTTTCAATTTATTTTCTAGCAAAGTTAATAAAATCGAAAAAATTGTTGACAACCTTCATGAATGTATTTCAAAAAGGAATGAAAAACTTTCTAAATTTACCGCACAATTTAGTCTTAATAATGTTCCTTGTGAATTAGAATACGACTTGTCAAATTTCACTTTAGAAGAATTAGAAAAATTAGGCAATTTTACAATACAAAATTTCAATGATAAAAAATATCCATCTTGTACTTCCCCTAAAAAAAACGAGAATGAAGACTTTGATAATGTTCCTTTAGTATTAGAATGTAATTTGCCAAATTTCACTTTAAATGAAATAGAAGAATCAAAAGAAGAATCGGCCAATGACGATAATAATCATGAGAATGAAAGTTTTATTCCTTACGATTTGTTAAATTTCACTTTAGAAGAATTTCCAACACATAATTCCAATGTTGACAAATATCCATCTTGTATTTCCCCTAAAAAAAACGAGAATGAAGAATTTACTGCTGATAATATTCCTTTCGAATTTGAATATAATTTCCCATATTTCACTTTAGATCAATTAGAAGAATCTGCAATACAAGATTTCAACGGCGATAATAATCATGAGAATGAAAATTTTCCTTTCAATCATGTTCCTTGTGAATTAGAATATGATTTGACAAATTCACTTTTAGAATAATTTACAATTCATCATATCAATAATGACAAATATTCTTCTAATAATAATGAGAATGAAAAATTTTCTTTAATTCATGTTCCATGTGAATTAGATATGATTTGACAGGTTTCATTTCAGAAAATTATACAACTCAAAATTTTAATAATAACAATGACAATTCTGATTCTAACGGCAAAATTTCCGGAAATTCTTCCTTTTTAACACTTTCTCATAAACATTATCATTATTATTATTCTAATTTTTTCGATCATAGCGAATGTTATTTAATCTTTTAATTTGATTTTCGGAATCATCGTTATATTATTTCTTTTTATTTTATCTTTTTATTATTATTTTTTTTTGGCAAAAATTGGTATATTTATTTTTTTTTCTCGACATTATTTTATATTATAGATTTTATTAACAGTTATGATACGTTAAGAGTAATTTATATAAGATTACAAATTATGCTTTAAGTTCATCTTTTATATATACACTGGCAAATTCTGAATATATATTTTATAGAGGTAAGCATCGACCAATAAAAATTATGCATTATAAATATTAAATGAATTTAAGTAAATAATTGGTCCGAATTTTGCGATTAACCACCAATTACTGGGATTAAAAGATTTTTTGGCATCACCGAAACAAAAACTATTAATATCACGTGATCTAATAATGATTGTATCTGAAACAAAGAATCTAAAAAATAGAAAACTAGCCATATTTCTTATTCTACGAAGAATGTCATTAATACAGAGGAGACTTTTCATCAATTGAGTGAGAGTTTGTTATTTGTAACGAAAAAGCTGGGTAATCATGATAAAAATATAAAACTTGCTCCTAATTATGTTTTGCGATTAGTGAATGATTTATCAAATAATACAAAAAGCAGTTATTATAAATTTAATTGATATTAAAATTTCTAGAAGCGATGGAACTGATCGGCAATGATCGGCTGTCCTATATAAATTTTTCTTCTATAACATCCATACCTCGAACTGAAATAACATATATAATACGGCTGGACTATTAATAACATCCAGGGTGCTAAATATCTTTTGATCGGAGCAATTATAGAAGAGGATTGGTTAATAACGATAATGTGCTTACAGGATCCTCCAAAACTTTGCTCGATTGTAAGGACCGAGAATTGTCTCTGAACTTTACTCAATATTTATTTAATTCTTACTATTAATAATGTTCATTGCGAATTAGAATACGATTTTTGGCAAATTTCACTTTACAAGAATTAGATAAAATTAGGAAAATTTTTCAATACAAAATTTCAATGTTAATAAATATCTGTTTTGTACCTCTCACTAAAAAATGAAAATGAAGAATTTACTTTTGATAATGTTCCTTTTGAATTTAGATATAATTTTCCACATATCACTTTGGAAGAATTAGAAGAATCAGCAACCCAAGATTTGACTCTCAACAATGTTATGAATTATAATATGGGACCTTTGCAATAGAAAAGGGGAAACGGCTGGAAAAATAAAAAATGAGTTAATGCTAAATCTGAACATATTTTGAACTAAAAATCATATACAAGTAAATTGATTTTCCGAAAGGTTTCATCCTTTCTATTGCAAAGGTTCCATATGATTTGTCAAATTTCACTTTAGAAGAATTATAACTCATAATTTCAATGGTGACAAAATATTCTTTTAATAAAATGAGAAAGAAAATTTTTCTTGGATATATTTGCCATTTCATTTTAGTTGAATTAGATGAATCAGCAACACAAGTTTTCATAGCCGATAATAAAAATGAGAGATAATTTTACTTTCTTACGAATTATAATATGATTGACAAGTTCATAAATTATACAAACACCAAATATTAATAATAACAATGGAAATGATGATTCTAATTTTAGCGGCAAAAATTCCAAAAGATTTTCCCATCCCGTAGAGCACTGACTATTATATCCCGGGTATGTGCCCCAAAAACCTGGGAGTATTATGCACAGGGGTACTATAGTCAGTTTGTAACGATCGAAAGGATTATCTAGCATAAAAAATTTTTACAAATTATTCGGATTTTCTTTTATTATATATGGAAGCAATTTTTTATAAAGAAAAAAAAATGAACATAACATAAATAAAATTTAGTAATGATTTCAAGGGAACTTTGATAACTGTGCGATTGGTTAATTTAATTTATTTTGCCCCTTGCAGGCCCTTGCATTTAATATCCCAATGTCTTTCTAAAGAGTCATTAATAATATACTTGTTTTTCTTTAATGCGGGAACTTCAAAAAATATACTTTTTTTTAAAAAAAAGTGCTTAAGATTTATTATAAGAAAAAACTTTCATTTCTGGCGAAACATTTTTAATGAAGTTATGATTCATAATTCTAGAGAAAGAAGCCAATTATTGTTTACCTAACATCAATATTTGAATGTTAGCCTATTTTCTTATAATTTATTTATTAATTCACACTAATTAATAGAATCATTTTTTTTTCTAGGGCTTTCTTTCGTATGTGAATATCTATAAAAATAATTTATATTTGTGCGATAAATCTCAAATAATCTGACGTGAATGGCTTCAATGAAATCATGGTGTAACATTGTAAGTATGTAGTGTGACATTAAAAATGACGAATTTCACAAATCTTTTTTATTAAAAAAGGGAATGAATAATTTAGTTCTATCCGAAAAGTCATAATTGCGTGAAATTGTAATTTAAAAGAGACTTTAAATATTATAATAATTTGTAACCATGAACTCAAATTACCATAAATGATAATATAATAAAGTCATTCGTGATATTAACGCGTTATTATTGATAGAACTTCATTCTCGTAGAGTTTATAACACAAATAGTATGATCCAGAAATCTATTTATCACTTTTCTGTCGTAAATAATGAATAGGAGATATCCGAACTATTCTTTTTTTATTATGCAATAATCTCTTTCAATTGAGTGTACAATTATCGTACAACAAATGCACTTCAGATTATCAGGATCAGAATTTTCGGAAAATCGTGGGGCACGCATTATGTAATAATTTTATCCAAATGTGGACAGTAAGCGTATTTTTTAATGTGTTCAACAATAAGAAAACTTTTAGTTAATGAACATGACATTAGCAAATTCGAAACTCCATTCAAGTACGGAGATTCTTAACCGGTTTGTTTATAAACAAACGTTGTAATGATGTAGGGGCAAGTCCACCAACCATTTCTTTAGCTAAACTAAATAAATTGATTTTTTCAAGTTAATGATTTGACATTTATGAACTCATTAAGTTTATAAATGGTGCTGATTTTTGTATACCCTTCTTTAGCCACCACATAATGTGGTACATGGCGTTTTGGGTCCGCCCCAATTATCAGAATATAAATGCTCGGTATATGAAGCCACTCAAACGTTTTGGTAACGCCTTTATTCATACAGAAAGAAATGAATACCCAATATTTTACGTGTCACACAATTACTTTTTTATCAACATAAAATACTGTGATACGGCTGATAAATTAATCAAATAAATATACATTCATGGACGGTTGAAATTCATCCTCGTAAATTTTACTGTACGACTTTAAAATGTTATGTGGTGATATAAAATTTAAATCGCGTATCTTATTGAATCCTTATCGAACCCTTTTCCAATATGGTGCTTTATTTACAACAAAGGAATGTTTTTCATATTGTAGATAATGCTAATGGTAATGATATTCGTGTTAAATAATGCACTGAATGTAGTATTTTCATTCATGCATTTTATTTCAACTTCATGCGGACTGAATTTAATATTCTCCATATTTTTACAAAGCAACTTAAAATGTTAATTTGACAACTGACAAAGTTCAGGGGCAGGAATTTACACAGAAAATATTATCGAAAATTTGTATCCCTGATTTGGAGACTTAATTATTGATATTTAACTTCCTGACGCGTATCAGTCACGCCGATGCTTAACATACTGTATATACTTTATTTTAGAGTATTAAATATAAAACGACTAACAATCCTAATGGTCATATAAACACATAAAATGATAGAGATGACTAATGAAGGTTTTCTTCTCTATAAAAGAACAGAGAATTTGTTTTCACGTTAAAAAATTTACCTTTCGCTAAACTAAAATTTTAATTCCTGCACAATAATAATAATTCAAAAATCCAATTCAATGTCATCCAACAATTGTATAGAATTAGTTTCACATAAATTACATAATCTTGAAGAAATCGTTAACAATTTTTATGAAAATCTTCCCAAAAAGAAGACGGATTTGTCAAATTTGAATTGGGAACAACTAGAATCGTTGGTGAATGACACGGTTCAAGCCATCAATAATAAAAACTCTCCATCTGCCCATTCCAATAATCATGTAAACAATACAAAACCTGTTCCTAGTAACGTTCCCTGCGAATTAGGACATAATTTATCGAATAATACTTTAGAAGAATTAATTAATTCTACAATACAAAATTATAATAATGACAACAATAACAATTTCAATGATAGTAAATGAGATATTCGATTTTAAAATTCAAGAAGACAAAGGTTCTAAAATACGTATAAAATATGTAGAAAATTGCTTTTCATCAAACACTTTGAGTATTAAATTTTTTATATAAATATTTTTATAAATTTTTTTAAATTTCACATTTTATTTTCTTTGAAAAGTTGGCAGGAACTATTTTCTCCTCTACTACTTTTCATTTAGTTAAGACTATTATTAAATTAAGATAATTAAGATTTATTTATTTCATATTTTTATTTTATGCAATAATCAAGATTTTTTTCGTATTGGCAAGATCTCTGAATTCACGAACTTTTACAGTATTTAATAAAATATTAAAAATTTAGCAAATAAATTATTGTAGGAAATAAAATTTTAACTTGCGAATATTTTTCTTTTCGGAACCTCATTTTAAAAGCAAAGCCCCTAATACTTTATAAATAATCATCATTTACGTGGTGTATTTTTTCCTCAATAGGATGGTTCTTACACAGCATTAGATTGACAATTTAGTAAAACGCGAACAAACGTAATAAATTGAAGACCCTGATCAAAATTGATATTTTTACTTTGTTTGTTATAGTAAAAACTAACTGATCAGTAAAAAAAAAAAAAACCAAAAGAAAATATTTTAGAGATGAACATATATGTGGAGGTAAGCTATTAAAATCACGTTACGGATCATATGATTTACTATGCTCGTAACTCGATTTAATGAAATTTATTTTTTGTTGATAAAAAGATCGGCCTATTATGTAAATTACCTCATAAAGTTTTATAAATTCAGAAAGTTTTTCCGAATCGAATTGTTAAATTACCAAAAATCTACATGATATAAAATCGACAAATATATTTAAAAATACTAATTTTGCCGAAAAATGTCACAATATTCGAAAGTATTTCATGGAAAGAATTTTCTTTGGAATTATTGTCATTAGAATCATCATTTTATTAGGGAGGTAAGAAGTCGATATTTATTATTAAACTTTCAAATTTAGAATTACTAATTCTCTGAGGTAAAACCCGAAAATCATATTCTAATTCGCAAGAAACATGATTGAGAGAAAATTTTCATTCTAGAAGAGGTAGATTATGAATATTTATCGTCAATGAAATTTTGAATTGTAAAATTGCTAATTTTTTTCTAATTCTTCTAAAGTAAAATTTGACAAATCGTATTCCATTTCACAAAGGAACATTGTTAAAAGTAAATTTTGCGACATAAATTGAGAAATTTTTATTCTTTTTTTTTAGATTGTTATATAAACATTATTAACGAATTCTTCAATTATATTATTTTTAAACAACTATCGGTCTCTTAAAATGAGGGTAAAGTTTTGGAGGTTTCTTCCTATTAACGTTAATGAGACTAATATTGGGTATATTGGTTTCATAATTTTTGGATGTCATTTAACGAAAATACAGACGGATATCCGATTAAAAATTATTATTTTTTTTTTTATTTACGTTAAATTTTTTTTTCTTTAGAATAAAGTGAGCCTACGTTGATTATTTATCTGACCGACATTACGATGATAGTTGTTAGTCCTCCTCTTAATCCAAGTAAATTATTCAAAAATTTTTTACATATTAAAAAATAAATATATACTTTGTTGTCCCACCTTCGACTGCTACACGGGTATTGTTTCGAATTAGGGATGTTAAATTGCTTTAACCAAGCATATTTAAACTGAGTATAAGCACAAGCTTTTTTCAACTAGCTTTAATATTCTTTTAAACTTGCTTTGAGCTTGCTTAACACGTTTGTTAATTTGAGCTTAATAAAGTATATATATAGCGCGTTTGATCAAAATAGTCCTATGAAGCAGATATTTTATATTTATTCGAATAATTTCAACAAATACTGTATGTATTTAAAATTTAAAATTATTTAATTATTTTAAAATAGCAATTGATTCAAATATTTTCCATCATAAATAATATTGACATAAAAATTAAATATAAATAAAAATACTCCAATAAAATCTG